GGTAGCCAGGCGTACTTAATCGGCCGCGCACGAGGCACCGAGACGCTTTGGCGATCTTCTCGCTTCGTATGATTAGAGATCCTCGAGCGGTCCCGTGCGCTCCGAATAATCGCAACAGCTGATAAAATAGGCTGGCCCGTGGCGTTCGTGGGTGGTTGCCTTTTTCAGGAGCCCTTTTCAGAGTGCTGTGTTCACGTCGAGCCTTTGGGCATTCAGGCGTCTTTAAGCAAGTTTTGTGGAGGTGGAAGAAAGGCGAAGTAATTTAAAAAGTTATTAAATCTCACGTTGCCGAATATAGGTGATTACAAATTCGTGCGAATCTGCCGAGTTCGTTGGCGCTTGCACGACTCAGGCATAACGCATTCAAATTATAATATCAAAAGTATATTATTAGCCTACTTGTGAACAAAGTCTTTGGAAATTCATCGATTATTCTCGCTCACACTGTAATTATGAATTAATTAATAGAAAATTTAATCGACAGATCAATTAAAAAAAAAAAAAAAAAAAATTCTTAATAATTTTTAATAATTCATATTTTATTTATTTTGTTTTTGTTTTTATTTTTTTTTCATATTTAATATAGAAAGGATGTATGTATAATCTTATTTTAATAAGTATGAATTTTGAGTGGAATATTCGGATAACATTTGAACCAATCTGGTGTCAATAATTTGCACGCATATCCTCAATTTCTTAAATGACTTAAAAACTTAAAGATATTCAAATATACATTACACACACACGCGCGCACACACACACACATATATATATATATATATATAAATACTTGTCTGTGTGTATGTGTTTGTGAATGCGCGTTTACGAAAAATAAATATTATGATTGGAAAGGACTGTTATTTTTAAATTTTTATCCCATCAAATAATCAAGTACGTGTGACTAATAAGTAGAATGTTACAATTACAATGATATAATATACTTTTGTCATAATATAATATAGAATAGTAAGGCATATGAATGAAAAAAAAATTTTTTTCATGCACAATCTGCCGTTTCTTAGTAGTTGCAACTGCAAATTCTCTTTAACTAATTATCGCCCTACAGTCCATTCACCGAGAAATGGACATTATTTTAAAGGACTATTGTTATTTTAGAATTAAAAGAGTTAACATGATATAACCTTTTTTTTTCAAGTTAATCAGAATAATAATTCGCGTATCAATGTTTCCATCAATGTTTATTCGAAAGATCGGATAATCTGATAAAAGCTTACGTACTCGGAAGTTACGTATCTGAAGGGACGTCGATAAGAAAATCCGTTAAAAATAACTACGGAGCTTATTTTTTGAACGCGGTCTCGAAATACCGAGAAAACTGTTTCAAAGCACCTTCCCCGTTTAAAATACGAGGTAAATATTTCGTGAGTGCGGGCACGCGTACGGGAGAACGAATTTCTTGTGTCAGGCGAGAAAGCGTTAAATCCCAGTGCGCAAAAAGCTGTGATGCCCCCTTCGAAAAATCCGTGGACTCAGCTTAGTCATAATTGCACCCAAGTCACGATATCCTCTTGAGTGCCAAAAGCAAGGACATTAACGGCGAGTAAAATAGGCGCGTGCACTTGTGACCCCCTTGCCGTCAATAGTCCTAACTTCGAGGGGGGTGGCAGATCGTGGAGGGGCTGTGTGGGTAGAGCCAAGGGGACAATGGCACATTCTTCCCAACAATCTTCATTTGCACATAGCAATGGGCCGCGATCGTTGCCCCGATATCGCCTTAGAGCCTCTGCCTTAGTCCTCCTGTATACTCACCTATGATGGTGTGAACCCGCACGGATAGCTGGGTCCTGAGAACGATGGAGTTCTTTCGGCTGCAACAGAGAGAGAGAGAGAGAGAGAAAATTAATGATACATTAGTTGCGTGAGTGCGTAGGTACATGCGTGCGCGACTGCCTTCATTGGTATTTGCTTTCTTAACGTATAAGCTTATTATTGCATGGCATTGGAAAAGTGGAGCACCGTTAGCCATCTGGCGGAGGCTCGCATTATGGGCTCGTTTCTCGGTTGGGTTAATAAAAATTTTTGTTCGGTCCCGTCTCTCGAGATGATCATTATTAAATGCGCATTTGATAAGCGCGCGCGTCTCCGCTCCCAGTAGGTTAACGAGCTGACGTCTTACATCGAGTTTCCAAACTGTACGCAATTGTTTGTAAACAAATAACAACCTAGTTTTGATTGCTTGGAGGTAGACATTGCGAGATAGTATTGTTATTATTAAGGCTCTTTCATAATACAAATATCGAGGAAATTTGTATAATTAGTCGCGAATAATGAAGTAGGTTTCCCGGCAAATTGTCCGCTGCAATTATTTTATAATAAAAACTTAATTAATTTTACTGCCTTGTTATATTTTTTTATTGTGCTTGCCTCAGGAGGCATTGAATTGCTAAAATAAAGAGAAAAATCTATAATGTACTGCGAAGCATCCCCGAAATGGTGTTATCATAAAAGTTTTTACGCTACTTTCCACTACTGATTATGGCAAGTAAGAGCGAGAACAATAATTTAATTACGACTGTACTTCGACTTACGCGTATTTTTTCATTTAATTAATTATTTCTTGACATTGAATTGTATATTTCTTACATATATATATATATATATATATATATATATATATATATATATATATAATATTAGTATTAAATAATTCGTTTACAATGATATAAGATGTAACAATAAGAATATTAACAAAATTTTTAATTCTATAGATCAATGTAATATTGTTGGTATTACTTATTTTATATATAAGATTATTGCGAAATTTTTATACATTTGAGTTTGCTAAAATGTGGTTATTTGATTTTTCTCCCTCCCCTCCCGATTAAAGTAATCTAAAATTAAATTTTTCAATTATTCATTAATTATCAATCACACGGCTAAGTTATCAATAACAGAACTAGAAAATAAATACAATAATAAGACCAAAAAAGAAATATTAATCCTTTATTTAAATAGAGTAAAAGGTCAGTTATCAGTATAAATATAAAAATACATTTAGAGAATAATGAATTTAATTTATTCTTTGAATAACATGATACTACAAGTTTATCTTTTTCACTTTGTAGGAATATTTTACATGTTGCCCCAATCACACGAAATTACTTTTATAAAATTTATTTATTTTACTCATTTATCAAAAGAAATAAAAATGACCACCTTGCAAAAATATTCAAATATGCTTCGCGTACGTAATAGTTAATATAGTAAAATAACATAGTTTTAACATAACGGCAATAATACATAACTCATAATATCTATGAAATTATATAGTAAATAAAATTACTTAATTGCTTAATTGTAATTAAACACCGACAGCTACTTTTATAAATGTTGGTAGTTTAGAAGCGTGTAAATGCAAAATTGCCTACACACGACTAATTAATTGAAAAAAAAACTGCGAATAAGATATGAACAAAGTAAATTATTCATAAAATGAGTGAAATTTAAATTTATACAAAATTGCTTTATAATTTATCCTGATAATTAGAACGAGAATACTAGATTGATAACATAGTACTATTACAAATGATAATTTTATGATTGATAAATAGTTACTGTAGAACTCTTAAATTACCCAATAATTTTTGAATTTTATTTTTGTTTTAAAATTGACATTAGCATATCTTCGTAAAGTACGTGGATTTGGAAAGTATGTTTGAAAATAATTATAATAGTTGTATTTATCGATGAAAGTATGATAAATGCATTGTTAAAATTTATTTTGCAGAAAAACCGCTATTCCATTTTTAGTTAATAACGAGGAAAAATTTAATTTTAATTACTCATGAGATACTTCTAAGTAACTTAGCTATTATTTTAATCATTTTCAATTCACTCACGTTCATTACGTAGTTCAAATAGTAATCACACTTTTATATACTATAATGAAGTGCTAATTTTAATAAGGAGTATAAGACTGGATTAATAATTATTTTTTCAATGAAAAAAATCATTATTGACCAATGAAATTCAGCATTCAGTAAAGTAAATATTTAATTTATTTTTATATGCGTATATGTCTAGATATAATTGTTTATAATGCGGATACCTGTCAATGTATGAATTACGTTAAAAGTAAACAAATTTTTAAAAATTTTTAAATATCTTTTAACAAATAAATTAAATAAAAATTATACGAAATAGTGAATGTAAGAATAATAAATTTTTAATATATAGATAATATTTTTATCGCAAAATTATATTCGCATCATTATTTAATAATTTTATAGCGCTATAATGAGGAATCTCTTTATTAATTTAATCCTTAATACAAAAATTAATAGAAAATAAAATAAAAAAAATATAATACTTTATATTTTATACGTTTTTATAAACAATATTTACATATTGAAATAAATTACTTAATAAATCAATAAAATGATTGTTAAAAATGTAATTATTCTATTTGACTTAATGTAAAGTTTAGTCGTTAAATTAATGCATAAAATGGCTTTTTTAGTCTATCAAACGATTACCATTTTTATTAATATTTTTATACAAATATTAATTAATTAGTATTTTTATACAAATAAATTAATGAATCATCGATATAATTAATGTTAATTTAATATAAAAATGATTAACCCTATGACATTGTGTGCGGATGATATTTGCAGCGCAGTACTTTAAACTCGGCTTTATAGAAAATACTTGCGTTCCTTTCTAACACAATCGGAAAATAACTGCGTAACCCAATAGAAAAAAGCTCCACGCACATCCTTCCGTTCCTATTCGTCACGCAACAAGTTTATCATAACCAGATAAGTGCACGTGGCGAAGTTACAGACGAGTTGTCAACAATCCAAACAAATGGGAACAATAGCTCCACATCCCGCCCCCTCCACCACAGAATGGCGAAGCTCACACAACCCATGGCTCTTCTCTCACTGCCATTGGGATGGGGTAGGCGTGATCTATCGATATGCGCGAATCTCATTAACCCCCTCCACGTGCGCCTGAATGCTTAATTAAGCAATTAGTCAATTACTCAAGGCCGCGATTAATTAGCCATTGTAATTAATTATGGAGCAACGCGGTGGCGACGGTCACTGGGGCAACGGGATGCACACGAGCGATTATACGTCGGGGCCCCAAGGCCCATAAATATGTAAGAGCGCGCGGGGCCTCCGAGCTATGGGCGAGAACACAGCGTGAGAAAGCCGAGAGAGCTTAAGTGTTCGGAAAAAGGCGCGATTGCAGAGGTGCTTTCTGAATATTGCATTTTAGACGCCGAAGAGATAGATAGATATATAGATATATAGATATATAGATATATAGATAGATAGATAGATAGATAGATAGAGAGAGAGAGAGAGAGAGAGAGAGAGAGAGAGAGAGTTTGTATTATAATGCTTATTATGCGAGCCGTGCATCGTGCGCCCGATTATTATTCGTTTCTACGTGTACGCCTGGCTTTTGCCGTACTTTGTAAATGTTGCCTTTCGCGAAATCAGTGGTGCGTCGATGTTTTAGAAATGTGATTTTGAGAATTCTTGTGCCATTTGCATGCGAGTGGTTGCAAATCGCGAGAACGAGATCCGCGCCATTTTCAAAAATATTAGAGCTACTAAATTATGTATTAGTCGAGTGAAGTTTTATAAATCTTGTGACCTGCGGCTTCTCTGCTTGGCTTCGAAACGATATGCAACAAATCTGCTTGTATTCTTATAAGATTATATTTTGCTTCTTCTTGTTTCTTCTGCTATTGTAGCGTAGGAGCAGCCAAGCATTTACGATAAGAAGCGACGTGAATTGAAAAATATACGGAATTCAGTCGCAGACATTCACCGTATCAGTCACTGAGCGATTAATATTAATATTTGATTTGATATTTGATTACAGCCACGATATCAAGACATTACGACTATCAAGATAAGCTCGAGTGCATATCGCGTCGTATGCCATTGAATGTGCGATCAATTTTCACATCTCACGGGTTGTTCAAGGGATCTTAAAATCGTCGCCTAAGCGGTAAAAATTCTAACATACGGAGGCTGATGCACTGGATCAATTGGCAATATCTTTTCGCAGGAGAGTATAATCAGCCATGGATAAATCATAAAACGAACCATTTGGTCGGTACAGCGATATAACATACTTTAAGCACATAAAGAATTGAATTAACACTGTCTATTTGTAAAGATTAAAGAAGCGCTAAATGTGTTGGATGTCAGTTAATTTTTTTTTCCATACAACATCATATTGTGCGAAATATTTTTAAATATTCACTCATAACTTTTATTCCAGCTTACTAATTAAAAAATAATATTAGCTACTTTACAGCCCAATAATGATCCACCGAATCTGATTATCCGATTTAATCGAAGATGCGAAAAATAACATGAAAATTTGTCGACTGGGCGTTAAAAAGTACAAAATTACCTAAAAGTGTCATTATCGTTGGGCGCAGGCGACTAATGTGTAACAATTGACTAAGACATTCGCAAGCGCTGCCCTCCTAAAGAAGCTTTCGCTTCAGCAAGCGTACAATGTTATCCGATTTAAGATAAGAGAATCAGAAATTTAAACACGTGATTTACGAGATGCATCATTAGGTGCCTCGCGCGCACGAACAAACAACACCGACAAATCGGGTCGCAGTCGCACTCGAGGAGCGGATCCGAGCGCAGGGAAGCCTGCGTTATTTTTCAGAAGAAGCCGGCATTTCGGATAAGATCGGAGAACGGCAGCGATTGGCCCGTGAGCGAAAAACAATGAGCCCCAGGAGCCATGCATTTTTACCGTCAATCAAAGTCAGCCGGCGGCCATATAAATTTTCGCCAATTCTCATCATTAAAGCGAACGGCCT